TACCACGCCAATCCCGGCTATCACGCCACCCGGCTATCACGCCTTCCGGACATCCACGTCCTTACTTATACATATACACCACGACTATCACGTCACCAGGCTTCCACGCCACATCCAGAGATACCATACCCGAGCTATCACGCTCCATCCCAAAGGAGAAGGCTGTCACGCCCATCATAGTTCCTACACTGTACCGTTGGCGGCTACCGCGCCGCTGGCTCTTTTATTTCCCAACCAAGGGACCCCGCGCGCCAAGGCACCGACGCACAAAGCTACTCAACACGCTAGCGTTCACGATCAAGAGAGTGGCTGCTGTGTCTACGCGCGCAACATGCCGGATGGAGACGGACGACAACCTCCGGGGGGATCAGGTCGGGCTGTCTCTTCCCCCGGGGCAGGCGTCGCGGACGAAGGAGGAAGTAATTCTTTCTCCGTCAACGATGCACGAGACCGAGGAGGTGCGCGAGCGGCAGGAGGGGAAGATCAGCGCAACACGATGCGTGAGCTGGTCGATCTCTTGAAGCAGGCCTTCGCGACATCAACTCAGGACCAGGGGCACCGTGCCCATCCAGGCACGTCTAGCAACCAAACTTTAGAGCTGAGGCAGAAAGAGAAAGTTGATGTCCCAGCATGGAGTGATGATTTTCTGAAGAGCAGATCAATTGAAGTTGCATTGCGAGTGTTCACGAGTGCATTTGAGGCGTGGCTGGAGAATGAGGGACTTGCTGGTGTGATGAGGGGTTCAGAGGTACCTGTTGGTGCAACTGGTATGGACTTGAACTGGTTGAGGAGCACGTACGGAGAGGAGAGAGTGAAGCAATCGAGGAAGATTTGGACGTTCATGCTTGCTAAGATCACAGCGCAACCCGCACAAGCCCAAACCTTGGCATCAGAATCACCTCAAGCAGGGTACCGCGTGTTTCTCGAGCAAAATAGCCAGGACAAGAGTCAGGAGCGACAAACCCTTGACGACGCATGGAACGTAATAGGCCAGAGGCAGGGAGAGAGTCTTATGGACTA